GCAACAAATCATATTACAGCCTTTCAGGGCTTGGGAGAATCACAATTAACCAGGTTAAGGAATAATTTTTAAAGCACAGCTAATCAGTTATATTATTTAAGAGACCAACTTCTCTTTCTGCCTGTATGAAATGCCCAGCTACACTTAGAATTCACAGCTTGACAGTTTCCTTGATTATTTCCTCCTTTCCTAAAGAATGGTGCCTTAGCTAAGGGAAAGACAAGGCAGCTGTAACAGTGTCACTAAGAGTGTGTCTGTGCCTTCAGTGCTTTTACTCTGGGTGTCATAGGGTCAAATAAGAACCCAATGGAGATTTTTGGATGGTGTTAACCTTTTAGAAGATCAAATCTACTTGACAATTGGTTCAGAACTAGAATTCACAAGGCATCTGATTTAGCTGGCTCATCAACTGATTTCACCCAAGAACTAACTTTAGGTTATAATGGCTCTATCTTTGACCATTTGAAATCTATTAATATAGATTTTGCTACCTGCAAAAATGTCCACTAATGGCAAAAAAATCCTGAGTGAACACACATATTTCTGTTGCCTTTCATTTCAAACAAATGGAAATTGCACATTTACCATCCTTTCATCATTTTTCAATAAAATCATGCTAGTAAGGCCCTGGTGGTGAAGATGAGAGTACTAGCCCTGTGCCTCCCCTGAGCTAGAGGGTGAGCAGGCCCTGATGGTGTGGACACAGGAGACCTGGCTCGGCTTCTCATCTGGCCAGCACAGAAAAGTGGACTCTGGTGGACGGGGTGTGGGAAAACTGGAAGACTGACCAACTGAACTACTACTGAGGCCCAGATCCAGGGCTTTGAGTTGGCCCACCCCAACATCTTCCCAATCTATGAGCCATTGGAGTACATGAAAGGACCAAATCTGCAGACCAATAGCCACGGGATCCTCACGACTCAGGCCAAAAGCAGGATGTCTGAGAATCTCTGTGAAGGTCCAGTATTGATGGTGTAGCAGAAGCCAGAGGCCTTGAACTGGCCCAATGACTCATGGCAATGAATATTTGCAAATAAAGCTGTTTGGACAAAAGGGTGTCCTGCATGGCATACTATGACTTCCAATACCACTGAAACAAATAAAGACATGATGGAGATGTGGGCGAGGTGGAGGAGCAGAGTGGCACACACGCAGAAGGCTGTGGTTGACAGAGGAGCAGGTGGTTGCCCAGAGGGGTTGACAGGTTGGTTTTGCAGTTGTTGTTGTTGTTGTTCTTTTCTTTTATAATTTTAATTTTTTTGATTTACCTTTGAGGGGGGGGGGAGGCTACAAGGGTGGAGAGTGAATACGGAAGGACTGGCGGATGAGGGAATTGGGGTGCGTGATGTGAAATTTCCAAATATTCAATTAAAAATTATATCAAAAATTAGTCAATAATGGGACGACGGGCTTTGTTTTGTGCATTTTGGTGTGAGTTCCAAGAAGTCAACTTTGTAGCCCTAAGTGGTGACTTTCCTTACAAACAGCCTCATTTCAGATGGAACTCCCGTGGTTTGGAGGAGTGGTTCTCAAAGATCCACCCAGAGGGGAAGCACCGGGAAGTGCTGTGTGGTCTAATGGGAAGTACCTAGATCATCAAGAGTGCGCCTTCCAAGGGGACTGTGGGACCAAGTCTTATTCCCCATCACTCTGATTCATGTCTCATACGTGTCCATTCACTCTCACATGCTGTCCTGACACTGTCATCCAGGGTACTCATCAGTAGCCCAAAGCAAAGAGTCCTCCAATCTGGAGCCTCCAAGTCATGGACACAGTAAACCTTTTTGCAGAAATACCCTGAGTCAGGTATTTCATTGTAGCAGCCAATGCAGTGGCCACCATCCTTGCCGTCAGTGACTCTCACCAAGGATGCGAGGAAGCGAGTCAATTACTAACGTGAGTTTTGGTAAAAATGACTGTGCTTTAAAGATTTATTTATTTTTATGTATATGACTGTTTAGTTTCACATATATGTGTGCACTGTGCGGGTACCCAGAGAGGTCAGAGAGAGCACTAGATCCTCTGGGATTGGAGTCACAGGTGGTTGTGAGCCATGATGTAGGTGTTCAGAACTGAACCTGGCTCTTCTGCAAGAGCAGGAAGTACTTGTAGCCATTGAACTATCTATCCAGTCCTGAAAAAATTATTTTTAGAGCCATTCAGCTCCAAGAAATTATCTATTTCTAGTGGTTACACTAGTACTATTAATCTTAGTTGTATATTTTACTATTAATAGTTATAATTGATATTTAACAAGTACATACTGCATATTTATGCAATGTTAGGACACTTATATCCATAGAATATATATCTGTGTGACTATATATATATATATATATATATATGTATGTATATATATATATATATATATGTCATATACTGCCTTGTAGATTAACATCATGTTGACTCTGTAAATATAACACCCACTATGTGGCCTGGAGACTATTATTCTTAGATTTTTTTCCCCGCCATGTTTGTTATTTTCAGCTCTTCTAGTAGATTACAGACTGGTTGAAAAGGTAGAGGGCAGTGTTGGTACTTTGTCTTATTTCCTGCAGTTGCTGCAGACCCAGGGGAGGTGAAGCAGATTCACCTTAGGCACTGTCACACAGTTCTACCACACTGACACTTTTTTTAGAAGAATCCTGACCCAAGGCTCTTCAAGTCAAACCTCCATGTGGTGTATATGCTGGAAAGGTTATGGCAGAATGGTGAGACTGTTCTGGCCAAATTGCTATTCAAGGAGTTGAGAAAGAAAGAGGGGCTGGAGGGACGGTAGAGCAGTTAACAGCATTGGCTAGTCTTCTAGAGGACCCGGGTTCAATTCCCAGCACCCACATGGCAGCTCACTACCATCTGTAATTCAGTCCCAGGTGATCTGATTCCTTCCTCTGACTTCTGTGATACCAGGTACACATAAGGTGCACAGAAATACATGCAGGCAAAATGCTCCTGCAAATAAAGTAAGTATAAATAAACCTTAAAACCCCCAAGAGTTTAAGAAAAGGAACGTCTTTCAATTTTTAATCATGCTTTCTTTCCTACTTGGACAGTGAGACCTACCTAACCTCCTTGAACATTGTTTATTTCAGTGTTTTCAAGGGGAAGGGAGCACTGTAACTATACTTGTATTAAAGTTATTGCCTAAACTCACTTCAGTCAATTGCTCATCTCACTTTTCTCTCTGTTAACGTCAACATAACAATTACAGTTAACGTGTTTTACCCACATGAATGCAGTGAGCTGTTTATAGCACAACATTGCAGAAATACTGTTTGTTTTATAAATGTCGCATATAAGTATTCTTTGGTCATCCACAGCGATGGGAGGAGGACAGCATGTTGAAACTCTAGCTGTCACCCGGCCTGCAGAAGAGGTATTTACGATGCCCACACATTAGCATCAGTGGACACTTTGCGGGTAGCTTTCCACAGAACCCATATCTTTTTATTACAGCTATTTCCAAGCAGTCATTGATGCATTTATCATTTCTGGGTTTTAATACAATTGCAACTCAGGCAATGTGAAATCAATAAAGTTTTAGATGGGATGTGCCAATTGGATAATGAAAGTGATTTGGACACGTAGACATTTGTAACATTTGGGGAAATCATTCTTGTTGAATAATGCAGGGACTGCGGTCTGCTCTTGCCAATGTAAACAAAGCTGTGAGTCCTGAAGAGATAAGCGGTTTATTGCTGCTCTTTTCTTAACCCATGGATTAATATGCATAGATCCTATCTGAGCATCAGACTGTCTCTTGAAGTTCAATGTTGGTCTTCTTTTCACACATGTAGTATAGAATTCTAGTCTCATTATGTCTTTATTTTGTGTGTGTGCTGTGGAGCTCATGTGTACAGGCCAGAGAACAACTTGTGAAGTAGATTTCTTTCTTTCTAGCATATGGGTCCCTGGTATTGAACTCAGGTCATCAGGTTTGCTGGCAAGTGGCTTTACTTGCTGAGCCAACTCCCTGGCCCTTAGAATGTCACAAAGGACCCCTGTGTCTGTCTGATGGTCTGACACCTAAATTTGCCACCAAGAGGATAACTGCCTTTCTTAGCCACCTCCTCATCATGTCTTGATCAAAGTCTTCCCATTCAATTCTCTTTCTTTGTCGTTTCTATGATTCCTTCTAAACCTCAGAATTTCTCAGGGTTAATTTCAAAGATGTCAAAGCTACGGTAATGGCTTCCATAATGAGAAAACTACATGATGAGCCTTTTCTTTGCCTTCCATGATGACTATAATTTGGAGGGAAGTGATTTAACATCTGTAGGCTGATGTAATGATGGTTCTCCAATGGAGATGTTGTGAAGAGCCAATTAGTTAACATGTGCAAGGCATTTAACATGGTATTAGTTCTGGATCTTTCTCTGCGACGACAAACATTTAGTTGTGTTCACATCCAAGTTAGTTTAAAGGTGTTGTTGCTGTGTTGACATATAAGGAGGTCTTAGTTAATACTCTTTGATGTCATTATTTTGAGTTTTTCTACATTCTTATCAGTTGGGATTTTTTTTTCTTTTTTCTTTTCCACTATTGAGGATTGAACCCAGGGTCTCATGCACATGAGGCAAGTCCTTTAGAGATACAGCTTCAGGCCTTTTAGTGATATCTAAAGAAGATAAAATTAATATATGTCATAATGTTAGCATGAATGTTTCACTGATGGATCACTTGATGGGAAACCTAGCAAACATTTAAGATGGCAGGTTTCAGCCTATAGTTCTAATGATTTCTCTCCCATCTCGACAAGTACATTTTAAAAGAAAGAACAGTGATAAGTAAATTTCTGAAGTGTTTTCTAAATGCTTACTACATAATATGCATTGTTTAGGCATCAGAAAAAGGGATTTTCTTTACAATCTCTTAAAATACCTTCAAATACAGCAGATTAAAATTGTTTGGACTACCATGGGTTGATATGTTCTGAATGCAAGAAGTATTCAAATCTTGCTATTAAATGAGTTTCAAAAATTTTTAATTACACATTTGAAGTCCTGATCACACCCTAGGGATTTATTTGTTTATGAAAAGTCAAACTATGAATTACAATATTCTGCTTTCTCAGATTAGTTTCACCATTCATTCCACAAATGATTTGTAAAATTTTGCCATTACCTAAAAAACATCGATACTATGTTACAAAAAGGTACTTAAATGTAGATGAGAAAGATAGATGTTTGTCTTCTCCCTTAGATATCGATGTTAAATAAAGGATGGAATGTCTTTATTTAAAACCAACCCCTTACCCCCACCAAATAGAATGAGTAAACATCAATGTGAAGAAAGGCCTTTTAAAACCTATTATTCATTTCAAACATGGGTTAGGAAAAAGGTCTATTCTGCATATAAAAAAGAACAACAAAAAAGGGGATAGTGAATAGAAAAATAAAATATGTAGTGGAGACAAAGATTCTGCACACACAGCTTTAAAACCACAACAGGCAACATTTTTCAGAAGGAGAGACTGTACATTCGTTCACTGAAACATAAATCCCTACAGAGTATATTCCAACATGGTAATTGGCCATAACAGACTCACCCATTGCAACCAATTTGCCAGTCTTTAGTATATTAATATTTACCTCTAACAGTTCAGTGGAAATATAATTAAGATTATTTCACATAAATATCTTTGTAACATAGACTTTCCTGAACTGCAATGGCATACCTACCAGCAGCCAGTCAGTTCACTGGAAACAAACTCACCAGCCTTGTCTCCTACACAGTAGCAGGGTCATAGATGGAAAAGGGCTCTGTTTGGAAGACATTATATAATTGAAATTATTTAACAAAAATCTGAAGCTGTGAATGAAAGGTAATGAAAGAAAAGTAGCTGGCTAGGTTTCCTCTCTTCCTTACAGTGCTGTGGTTAAAAAAAAAAAAAAGTTTAACACCCCTTAGTCAGAAAACAACCCCTTCACTTGCTACAGGGCTCAATGTAGAATAAGAAAAGAAAACCACGTTTTTGGCTGTAGCTTCAGTAAACAACAAATGAAGAAAAACCTTGTCTTCAAGAGGTCTGGAAAGTCAAAACACAGACCTCGTCGCACGGAAAGTGCCTCCATTCCTCCACGACTCTTAGCAACGTGTAGCTGAGCCCTATTCTGATGGAAAGAAAAGGACAGACTAGTTCCAGCATCACAACACGATAATGAAACACCTGACCAACAAGGAACAATTAATTCTCCTGAATAATGACATCATGTTTGCATATAGGACAGCATTTGCGTTATTGCTCTACATAGAATAATATATTAAGGAACCCATAACAGACTGCACATTACAAACTTAAGGTTCTTTGGTGAAGAATGAAAGAAAACAGTATTTGAGCTTTAAAGAAAAATATCTAATCCATGATTTTTTTTTCCTTTTATCTATTTATCTGTTGGATCCTCTCACAGAGCAGGGAGAGGTACTGAGTTAGTTTCACCATGGCCACGATTGCCACGCCCCCAGCCATCATACAAGTTGGCCAGAAGAGAGAATGGAACAGCACATTGGAGCTGTAGAGTTTGGTCAGGATGACGCTCTTCTGGTTCCCTTCTGGATCAGAATAGCAGGGGAAGTGTTGGTGTCTCCTGAAGTTTTCCATGACGACACTCACCACGGACATGGACTCTTCAAAGTTGTTTCCACACTTAGGAATATAGGAGCACTGTGAAGAACAAGAGAAACTGTCACCAAGAGGAAAGGTAAGAGGATATCAGTCAGCCTAACTTTATCTGTGAGACAAACACGGTCGCTAACTTTCACATGTTGAAACCAACACCTCCAAAAACCAGAGAGGTCAGACCCTGATTAAAGTAATGCTTTGGGATTCCCAGTGTCTCTTGGCAACTCACCTGTAAATTATTTAGCTGTTGATTAACATCTACTTATGAATTATGCTAGTCTGCTGTAACAAGTGTACATCACACATGTAGAAAAAGAAAGTATTACTTTTTGCTATAGCGAAGGATGGTGGGTCTTCATTACTCTTGATCAAACACACTTGTCCAGGGGCTCAGAGTGCAAACCTTTCTGAATTCCGTTTACCCATATAATATAAAATGCTACCATAACGTATGGCGATGGTTAATCTTAGTTATCAACCTGATTGGATGTAGAATCACTATGGAAACACACCTTTGGGTGTGTCTAGGATAGTGTTTTCAGCAAAGTGAAACTCAGCAGGTGATAAAATCACAGGGGACATCGGTCACCTGTCCCTTGGCTGAAGTGCCAGGCTGAACAGAAAAAGGTGAGCTGATCACCACCACTCAACCCTTTCTGCTACATGACTGTGGACACAACATGACCAGCCCCTTAGTCCTTTCTGCCCACAATGGAAGAGATCCCCTCAAACTGTGAGCCACAAAAAAATCTGTCTTCCCTTATTTTTTCACAACAATGGCAAAAGTAATTATTACACATGTCAGTATAAAAAGCAGTTTATGACCAGACACGCTAAACCTGTTAGAAGAAAAAGTGGGGAAGAGCCTTTAACTCATGGGCACAGGAGACAACTTCCTGAACAAAACACCAACAGCACAGGCTCTAAGATAACAATAAATGGGACCTCATGAAACTGAAAAGCTTCTGTAAAGCAAAGGACACTGTCATCAGAACAAAACAACTGCCTACAGATTGGGTCTTCACCAACCCTATATATGACAGAGGACTAATATTCAGAATAAATAAAGAACTCAAGAAGTTAAACAGCAACAAATCAAGTAATTCAATTAAAAAATGGCATAAGGGCTAAACAGAGAATTCTCAATTGAGGAATATCGAAAAGCAGAGAAACACTTAAAGAAATGCTCAACATCCTTAGTCATCAAGGAAATACAAATTAAAATGACCCTAAGATTTCACCTTACACACATCAGAATGGCTAAGATCAAAAACTCAAGTGAGAACACATGCTGAAGAGAATGTGGAGAAAGGGGAACCCTCCTCCATTGCTGGTGGGAATTTAAATGTATACAACTACTTTGGAAATCAATCTGGTGCTTTCTCAGACAATTGGAGTAGTGCTTCCTCAAGATTCTTCTATAGCACCCCTAGGCATATATCCAAAACATGCTCAAGTACACAACAAAGAAATTTACTCAACCATGTTTGTAGCAGCTTTATTCGTAATAGCCAGAAGCTGGAAACAAACCAGATGACCCTCAAGTGAGAAATGGATACAGAAATTGTGGTACATTTACACAGTGGAATAGTACTCAGCAATTAAAAACAAGGAAATCATGACATTTTCAGGCAAATGGTGGGAACTAGAAAAGATCATCCTGAGTGAGGTATCCCAGAAGCAGAAAGACACATATGGTATATACTCACTTATAAGTGGATATTAGATATATAATATAGGATAATCATACTAAAATCTGTACACCTAAAGAAGCTAAGCAAGAAAGAGGACCCTGGGTAAAATGATCAATTCTCACTCAGAAAGGCAAACAAGATGGACATTGGAAGAGGGAGAAAACAAGCAACAGGACTGCAGCCTACCACAGAGGGCTGTTGAAAGACTCTACCCAGCAAGGTATCAAAGGAGATGCTGAGACTCATAGCCAAACTTTGGGCAGAGAATAGGGAATTTTATGAAAAAAGGGGGTGATAGGAAGATCTGGAGAGGGACAGGAGCTCCACAAGGAGATCAACAGATCCAAAAAAATATGGGTCCAAGGGTCTTTTCTGGTAGTCTAACCAAGGACCATGCATGGAGATAACCTAGAGCCCCTAGGTCCCCTGCATAAATGTAGACCATGGCAGATCAGTCTCCTAGTGATTTCACTAGTAGTGGGAACAAGGACTGTCTCTGACATGAATGCAGTGGCTATCTCTTTAATCACCTCCCCCTAATGGGAGTGCAGCCTTACCAGGCCACAGAGGAAGACAATGCAGCCAGTCCTGATGAGACCTGCTAGGCTAGGGTCAGAGGGAAGGGGAGGAGGGCCTCCCCTATCAGTGGACTTGGGGAGGGGCATGGGAGGAGATGAGGGAGGGAGGGTGGGATTAGGAGAGAATAAGGGAGGGGGCTGCAGCTGGAATACAAAGTGAATGAAGTGCAATTAATAAAAAATAAGTTAAAAAATAAAACAAAAATCCAAAAAGTAGTTTATGAATGTATTTTTTTTGTTTTGACTTGATGTTGTTCAACCAAACTACCTCGGGCATCTTGTTACTGTCATCAAGAGGACAACTGCACCTTTGGTGGAATTTGGACAATTGAGGGAGGCTGAATAGAGGCCCTTGAGGAAATGGAGATTCCCACTCAGCACCCACAAGTGCCCTTTCCTGTCAGGCAAGGGGACATAAAGCAGGATCCTAGCAGAGGGCACTCACTCTCTGTCTGGAGGACCTTCCAGTATTTTCACCTACATCTCTTGCTTTCTGTCCCTTCTATCTCCCTACCTCTCGTCTTTCTTTCCACATATTCATAAGAAGTGGGCTGTGGGTATTCTGTGTGCACTGATATGAGATCTGGGTACTAGACTCTGAGGGAAATTTACATCTGTACATCTCACAGGGAGAAAATATAAAATAAAGGAATTAAGTCTCAGCTAGCGAGAGTCTTTCTGGAGTAATTTTCCCCTGGCTTACCAGCCGCACCGGGAACTTTGTGGAGCTGTAACCATGGGATTGTTTGGCTCTAACTAGCAGACATTTCCCTGATTAGTTAAGAACAGAAGACGAGCATGCTTGCAGTGTTTGGCACGGGGCCAAGCACAGCTATGAATGTAACCCAACACAGCATTATAAACCAATTCAAACCATTGTGAGTGTATGCACGCGCTAGTGCAGAGGATTTTTTTTTTTTTTGATTGCCTGGTTCTCAAGCATCCCAGATGCTCATAGCTGATGATATCATACCACCATGTGGAAAGGTTGGACACAGCTCTCCTCATGCCTAACATCATGCTCTCGTAGCAGGGATCGGTTGACGCATTAAAATATGACCAGCTGTGAGTCAGTGCCCATCCGTTCATGTGTGTGAACCCCGTTGAGTGCTGACTTAGCCTGGCACTGGGGTGAGAAAGAGAGCTGAAAGCATCTTCATGGGACGTTATCATTCAGTGTGACTATGGGCGTGGGGTTTCACGGGATCAATTTTTGGCCAGCTGTATGACTTCAACTTTCAGGCAGATCACATCGTTAATATTTTAAAGAAATGTTTCTTGAAGCAAGCAATTTTAAAAACAGCAAAGCAAAACAAAGACAGAGAAGCCATCTATGGCTGAATTCAGGCTGCGCCGGTCTGAATTACAAGTGCATCAGATCTTGGTATGTTTTTGGGCTTGCCTTATGGCGGCACTTTCGGCATCTAACGAGCTAAGTTACTGAAATGATCCCAGTGAAAATGGCATTCCATTAAAAAATGGAGTTTTGGACTCGCCTTTCTCAGCACAGACCTAACTGCCTGGGGCCTGCAGCCACTGAGGCGGAGCCCCAAGCTCTTTATCGGCAAAGGCCAGCAGTACTGTGTCTCGGAGCCCCAGATTCACTCGCGGGGGCTGCACCATCCTCCCAGGGCCCGAGCCTGCTAGACGCCATACTAGCTCCGCAGGAGCGCCATCACTGACGGTACAGCCCGCCCAATCCCACAGTGACAGAGAATACGCTATATACTCACCAAAACCAGACAGAAACGCCATACAAGCTAGACACACCAGGCGCTGGGCCTCCGAAGCTTGGAGAGCACAGTAAAGAGACCCCAGGACTTCCCAGAAAGCATCTGGACTAGCAACCCAGTCTCCAGTTACAGCGGGACTTTCTAACCTGGCAGCGGAGCAGCACTGAGCTGGCGGGGCACATCAGCCCTCCAGTTTAAGACTAACCAGGGCCAAACCAGAGAACAGAAAGGCTGGTTACCCCGATTCCCACTGACGTGACCACCCTGAAATCTCCAGCTGCAGCAAGACCTCATAACCTGGCAGTGACAGCAGCACGGAACTGGTGGAGCACATCAAAGAAGCAGGGCCAAACCAGAGAGCAGAGAGCCCAGATACGCCGATCTCTGCCAAGTGTCCTGCCTGTAAGTGAGTGCACCCTTGAGAATCTGCAGCTCCACTGATCCTGGGTTCTTCTAAAACAGAAGCCAGGCATCGAACCCCCTCCCACCCATATACCCACTTTGGGAAACAGAGGGGCACTTGGAACATTGAAGTTCCTGCTCTGTGGGTCTAATTGAGGAGTTAAGGCAGTTAATGCCAGAAATTGCGCTGCGATCATCACTAGCGCCTGCGACATATACATTGCAGAGCCCCTCCCACACACTCAAGGGTTCAACATTAGCCATCACTCTGTCCCTCGAGACACACGCCCACACCCACTTACACACACACACACACACACACACACATATACACACGCACGCACGCACGCTTGCTTTTGCCTCTGTTTGCGCCTGCGTACTTTCCTCCCACAGGTACAGCTAGTCCTCAGCATACGCTAAGGACACGGGACCTCTCTCAACTTCCTGAAGAATTCTCCAGACTCGAGAGAGAGACAGTACCAGTCTGATCGGCAGAATCCAAAAACAAACAGGGAAGGTCTCAGATAAGCCAATGGCCAGGGGTAGGCGAAAGAACACTTCCAACATAAATCAGGACATCATGACTTCACCAGCAAACCCCCAAATCGATGGATACTCCAATTCATCAGAAGTAC